AACTGAGTGGTGTGAATCGGTGATCATACCGATTTACAAGAAGGGCGACATGTCCTCTTGTGAAAACCACAGAGGAATTAGTATAATTAACATTGCCTCTAAACCTCTCGCTGGTATCATACTCCGTCGGTTGTCTGCCGCACGTGAAGAGCGCAAACGTGAGAACCAGGTTGGTTTTAGACCTGGTCCAACTTGTATCGATCACATCTTCACTCTCCGTCAAATCCTAGAACACACTCTTTTCGTAGACCCAACATTTCTATCTTCCTCGACATGAAATTGTCTTTCGACTCAGTCGACCGCTCTAAACTCTGGCGCTGCCTTTCCCTGAAGGGTGTGCCCGAGAAGTTTAGTTCAATATTTCAATCCCTCTGCAATAATAGCCGAAGCCGAGTCCGAGCTTACGGCACGTTTTTACCCGAGCTCACCACGGAAATTGGTTTGACAGGATTGCCCTCTCTCTCCTTTTCTATTTAACTTCGTGATAGATTTAATTCTTGGAACAGCCCTATCCTCGTGCAAGAATAGCGGTATCGATTTATTTCCGGGTGGCAGACTGTCTGATCTAGAGTATGCAGACGACATTGTGCTACTAAATGAAGATCTAGGTAAGTTGCAAGCTTTTCTGGATAGTTTGAGTACTAATGTTGTCATGTTCGGTATGCGTTTTGCATCTTCAAAGTGTAAAATACTACTACAAGATTGGGTTGATCCAGCACCCAGTCTCACCCTAACTGGGGAAGTAGACAAATTTTGCTATGTAGGCAGCTATATCTCACCCGGCGGACGCATCACAGATGAAGTGTCGGCGCGCATACAAAAGGCTCGATTGGCATTTGCCAACTTGAGACATTTGTGGCGCNCTAAAGGAACAGGATAAAAATAGATTGTCAGTGTTCGATTACCGCTGTCTACGTAGCATTGCACGCGTCTGGTGGGGTAACCGGACTAGCAATGCTGAGGTTAGGCGTAGAGTTTTAAGCAGTCGCGGTCGTCCACTAGAGCAAGTGATCGACCTCCATAGATTACGCCGGTTGGGACATGTGTTACGTATGTCGCCATATAGGTTGCCGCGGCGAACGATGTTCGCCAAGGCTAGTAGCCATTGGAAAAGATAAAGAGTGGTCAAACTAAGACCTGGCATGAGGGTATGAAAACACTAACCAGGAGACTAGGTCACATAGGCCCCGGTAGGCTCCCTGGCTGGGGACCTTGGGAAGATGGTCACCGATGGTTAGCTACTCTGAGTGATATGGCTGGGTGTCGCAAACAGCGGGGCTCGTGCATCCACTCGTTATTTTCCTAACACCACTCTATATGAATTCCCCACCTCAAGCTTGAATTTGCTTCGACATTCCAATCTACATTTTGCTCCTTTATCCAAATGGGCAACCAAAACCGGCGCACGAAAGTGCATGCTAAATGGTTGTAAAATCTAGCGGTCTCTGCGTAGGCTTGCATTAAGTTCACGTCTCGGTACGAGTCGTGTTTCACTGTGCCCGCTGCCGATCGGAACTGACCGACGTGCGTCAAGAGGACGTAGAGACGCCGCAGAGTTCCAGGGTGTCACGGGGTGACGTTTCAGCTCACAACTAACTAAGCCAGCCATATGCAAAGCATTCCTGATTAGCGACCAGTGCTGACTGATGTTATAAGGTAGGGTTGGTTTTAGCTTTTCAATTAGCGCGGTTTGGAATACAGTTAGACAAGCTGGTTTGGACAGCTTATCACAGTCTAACCATCGCTGTCTCGTGCGTTTTCTTTCGCCCACTGAAGCACATGGACAGCTTGGCGAATACTAATACTACTAATACTAATGAAAAGAGTATCCACAATAAAAAAATAACCGATTTATTCACTGGGTGGAACATTTTAGTGAACAGTTTAATTGGTCTGGTGCTAATGCGGTTAGTCTTAGAAAGATGGGGGGGGGATAACATCGTGAGCTCCATTACTACCTTACTACGCAACATTTGGACTCAAGAGCGCATTCCTTCACCTTCATGGCAAGAAGATATGGAAACTCTGACCAGGAGACTGGCTCACATGGGTCCAGTTAGGCTTCCAGGTTGGAGACTCCGAGCTTATGGTCACCGACAGTTAGAGACACTGAGCGACATGGCCGGGTGTTGCAAACAGTGGTTCTCACGCACCTACTCATTACTCTTGTAACTTCAGTCTATGTAACTGCGCTTTCTTCCGCTTTATTCTGCTATCAACATTCTGCTGTTCCATCCAAATGGGCAACCAAAACCGGCTCACGAAAGTGCATGGTTAATGGTTGTAAGAACTGAACTGAACTTGGGAAGAATCACTGATCGTTCCCAATTTCAGGCATAGATCTTGCGAAAACCACCGCGGGATAAGTTTGAGCCCAATCGTTACTGAAGTGTTGGCCTCCGTCATACTTGGACGTCTAATTCCTAAAAGAGAGACCGACATCCGTAAACGGAAAGTCGGATTTCGACCCCCTCGTTTACATATTGCTTAAATTAGCACGTTACGTCAGGTCCTTGAACTGCGTCACACTCACCGCAAGCCAAACGATGGTATTGTCTCTTGAACTGAAAGGAGCCGTCGATACAGCTGACCGCGAATCTCTCATTCGAAATGGAATGCAACGGGAGGAAAGTTGTACGGTTTAGAACACGGCGATGACATTGCTTGTTTTTATCAAATGCATGAAGAACGCGCAAAGTGCAGTTGATAGACTAGAAGGTGCTGTTGCCACATTACGTATGTGCCTTGCACCTTCAACGTGTGAAGTCATGCTACAAAACTGGGTGTGGTCTACTACCGTTATGAATCGAAATGACCAGGAATTAGTTATAGTAGTAGGTAGTTGCGTGACCAAAGACGGTAGCGTAACGAATTAGATAACCACCAGCATTTCCAAGGGTGGAACAGCCTACGCAAGACTAACACACATTTGGACAAGACGAATCGTTTCACTTAAGTTGAAAGTTTGTGTATACTGTGTTATCGCTCGTTCAGTTCTGCTTTGCGACTGCGATTAGATGTCCATCTGCTAGAAGTTTTTGATTATCCGTGTTTACGTAGTTTGGTCCACATGGAATACAGCGAACGGGCTAGTAAGCTGGAGGTAAGCCGTCGTGTTTTGTAAGTCTGTCACGCATAAACCTCCTAGCACATCCAATTCAGAATAGCATACATCCCTAGCCAGGGTACGTGTTACGTATGCCCAGCTACCATCTACCACATCGCGCCTTATTCGCTGTAGCAGCTCCGGGCTGCAGAAAACCCCATGGAGACGATACATGACGAAATGCACAGAGCCGTTAGGTAGAGTAGGTATCTCGCGCCATCCAGATTGTTATCTGAAAGACTGCAACAAGCTGGTTGGAGACACTGAAGGATGAATGGCAGCAAACCGACAGCAGTGGCGTCTTCCTTGTCATTTCCTATCAAGTCAGAATGCTTGAAAAGGTACGTATACACAGTTA